TGTGTGTGTCTGGTGTGCGTTGTCCATGCACGCGGGCGTTATGCTCTCTCTCTCTCTCTCTCTCTCTCTCTCTCTCTCGCGCGCGCGCGCGCGCGCTCGCTCGCTCGCTCGCTCGTGTGCGCTGTCCACACACACCTGCTTCCCCACACGGGCGCTATGCTCTCTCTCTCTCTCACACACACACACACACTCAAACACACGTAATGTTCGAATGCATGTCGGATCGTGAGTACACAGCGCAGTCAATGTGTTCGTGAAAAAAAAAAAGAACTTCATGCTGCAGCCCTGTCCTGGTAGCAATCGATTGTGTTCTATTCGTGATATTATTACCATACTTGCGGCGCACTGGTGCGGTGCGCCCTGCAGAATGCGCGCGCGCGCGCACGAGGTGCGCCGTGCGCGCAGCGCATGGAGGTGCGCTACTGTGCAAGCGTGCGCACTGTGGGCCATGCCTTTTTTCGGCTTGTGTGTGTGTGTGTGTGTGTGTGTGTGTGTGTGCGTGTGTGTGTGTGTGTGACACTATCGGACCGAAGAAACCGCCATTATCAACCGCCAACATGAATCCGGAAGCGGGGCGACATGCACGAAGGACAAAAAATATGGCGGTGTATCTTTCCATGTTCCGGCGGAAGATTCATTCCCATTTTGCTCATACGTTGGGTGGTGGAGAGCGAAGGGCGTTGCTCCGCTACTTACCAAATGTGCAAAATGAGAATGAATCAGGTAAGCGCGTAACGTATCTCTGGAACCTTTCTTTTTTTTGTTTTGCAGAATCTCTGAACAAATGAGATTGAATCCTCCGCTTGAACATGGAAAGATACATTGCCAATTTGCCATATATGTCTTGTGTGCATGTCGAGAGTAGTGCAGCGAGCCCGTTGGTGAACAGTACCGTTGAGGGTTTTTTTTTATGAACTCCCTGGGCCTGGTCAATCAATGATGGGGCGTCGCCGTACGGCACACGAAACGAAAAATGAAACCATTGCATCTTTCTGCAGAGAATGGCCAGGTTCATCGGTTTGCTATAAAAAATAGTAACGAGTGTATTTTGCCATCTTTCGTGGGCAGCTGCACTCGTTTCGTTTTCGTTTCGTGTGCCGTGTGGCGAGGCCCATGATRTCTCGAGGCCGTCACCCTTTCAAAGAAGGAAGTGGCTGTCAGTTCCGCTGATTTTCTTCCTTTACATTTTT